TGCAATAAAACGTACACGAGAGAAAAATGAGTCTCGAGCGTAGCACAATTTCCGGTTTATTTTATTATCATTTTTCCCTTAGCCCCTCGGGATAAGCATTGGAACTTGAATAAGACGGGCTCCTGAAATTTCCATAATTTCACGCGGTGATGGCACTTGTAGCGCGTATACACGTATATACAAGGTAATAAGATATTCCTCGAAGAATCCGCGCACTCGACGCTGCCACTAGGCAGATTGAGAAATAAGAAGTGGAGAGAGGGGGTGGGGGTGAATATCGTTTCCCCCGTCATTCGCGGAATTACGAATTACCTCGACCTGATTGGCACAATCTCGTTTTTCACCTTGGATATATATATGTACATACATTTTTTTCCCCTTTCACTCCTATCATCTGTTTTCCAACTCTAAGCAAACTTCTGCTGGGGTACCTTGGCTTGAATATCCCTTGGCTAGAGGGTCGGTGGTAAATTTTGGGCCTCGGATCAAACGGAAATAATCCGCGGCGAATGAAAAACAAACACGGGGGATGGTACCAAAAAACTAAAAAATCGTATCATCGGAGTCCACCAGGTCAGAGAAATGTTTTTGCAGTACCACATGGTACGGGTTTGGTCCACTTTTTGACGCAAACGGTGCCTTCAAATTGATTCTGCGTCCCCGTACATATATATATATATATATATATATATATATATATATATATAAGCACACTTGCATCTGATTTTTCAGCTCGACCGAGCGTGGCGTTGTACACGCGTCCCCCAAAGGCCCTTGTTAATGGCAACCACCTTCGCTCGTTGTCAATTTTCCTATACTGGTCGAGTTTGCGTGGGCCAATCAAAGACACAATTCGTCGACAAAAGTCCGAATGGCACACTCGCGAGGTCATGCGCCAACCTACGTTATTTCTCGGATGTAAAAAAAAAAAAAAAAAAAAAAGGGAAGGGAAGGGAGTCCGGGTGATAAATATCTCCCCTTCGCTTCGCTCCTCGCGATAACTGGCAAATATTTATATGGCTGTAGATTTATGGAAACAAATGTCCGACCCACTTTTAATTTCTCGCTCGGCCCCGTTATTCACGCGTAAAACGCATAATATATGGAGCAGTAGGTCCCCGTTTCAGGGGCTACACAGTATCCAGGATATCCCTCCGTGTGTACGTGTATCACCAAGGGAGCCACCGCCACGACAAGCACCGGATTTGCGTTGCTATGGGAATACCCTCGTATTTGTGCTCCACCGCATCGGGAGAGGAAGGAGCTCGAGATTTTTCGACTGTTTAGCTGCTTAGAAGGGCGCCCGTGCGCGTATAGGCCATCTGCTTCTTTTGTTTATTGGGTGATGGCCGACTCTGTTTGTTCGTTTTTCAAACTTGCGAGAGGAGTGATGATAAAAACAGTTGACGCTCAGAAGCGCGGCTCAAGAGATGAACTTAATCTTAGGATTTTTACATCACATTGCTGGAAAATACACACGAACGTAAAACTACAGGTAATTCTGGTGTATACCGTTTCAAAACAACGCAGTTTTTACTTACCAATTTACAGAAATCCTTTTATCTTGTGGCATTTGGGTTTTCAAAGGAGTAGCTTGAAGTGGCATTCGTCTATTTGTATTATGTAACAAATAGTTGAGAGGCTTCCTTGTATATACTGTCCTAAAATACTTTCAAAAAAGTTAAAGACCACTACATTGTTGATCCAGTTGTGAATAATTTATTGTGTCGCGTGGCGTCTTACCACAGAGCTTACGAGCTCAACAATCGTTTCGTTGATTGGTACCATGTACCAAGGGGTACCAACACAGCTGAAAGAGCAACAGTGCGCATCTCCCGCTCGTAGCTTCTGTACATAAATGTATGAAAGAACACGCATGGCACCCAAGTCGGCTCTTCTTTTCCCAACTCGGGCCCGATATGCCTCTACAAATGAAGCGCCTGCTTTGCACCACCTATATATACATACAGGTGCGGGCAGAGCTCGCCGACAGCTCGGAACAAGAGCGAGGCTTCCGCCAGCTCGGCTCATCAATATTGACTCTTTGCAATCAGAGCCCGGGCGCGGTGTGCGGCTCGCGGGAAATTGCTACTCCCTCGGAACACGCGCTCTATTTCTTCGTGTGCTTCTTCTCCGTCCGCCCCAGCTTCCGTTGGCCGTACAGCTGCTCTCTACCATGCGAGCTTGTACGCGTGTATACATGTACAATAATAGCCGCGCTTGGGACGATCGATGGATTGTATACGGTGGTAGCTGCCCAAGGCCAGTGGGTAAACAAGATAGTTGCTCCTTCCTTCCTCTCTTTGAGTTTGAGCTCCTTTCCTTTCCCCCCCCCCCCCTCGATTACTTCGATTATGCCGGACGCTTGGGTATAAGTAAGGAATCGTCGATGAGTGTTATTTTACATGCTTTTTACCTTCATTGTTTCTCTGCAAATATATAATGTATTATGTACTCGTACGAGTTGATAAATAATGCCTACAATGATAGTCATGAAATACATCCCTTTGTCTCGTGCTTGGAGCTGCTGTGTTTATGCCGAGACTATAGCAAAACACACACGGGTGGCCGAGAGTATGAAATTCGTATATCCAGACTCTCCTTTTTCCCGTTCTTTCGACAAACTTCGGCATACCCGCCTGTCTTACTCCCGGGGCTTTGAATACGAAATCATCCCCCCCCCATCCTTCCATGACAAACCAAGCGAGTCACACGCAGTGAATCATTTAACGACACGTGGGGTTATATCATTTTTTACCAACATGAACCGCATTATGGCAAAACCATGGAGATGCGTTGCAGCCCGGGTCTGACCATACGTTTACTCGTACTACTTGTTTCATGCTCTCGTGGTCGCGTATCGCCACGCGCTGGTTTCGCCCGAGTCCTGCCATGCAGCCGCATGGTTTTACCAGCAGCACAACTTTCCCGGCAAACATCGATCCCCAACTCGCCTCGTTTAATCCTTCCCCAGCCCGACCCGAGCGTAATTTCTGCAAATCAAGCTGCTCCGCGCGCTCGGCGCCCCCTTCATCAAAGTCCACCTACTTTGCGAGACTCCTAATGAGATGTGCGTTGTTTACTCTCGTGCAACGAGAACTAATCCCTTGGAGTCTCTGTCAACCGGCGGGGGTCCTGGAACAAAAAAAAAAAAAAAAATATGAAAAATAGATCTCATAAATCCCGGGGGGGTAATGAGCTTTCATATTTTTCAGTCGCCTACTTTTGTAACGATAAGTTATTAATTTTTTTTTTTTTTTTTTCCGATAATATCAAAACGGCTCACGGCGGCGAATTTATATAGGCTTCGAGTAATTAATAGCGTTTGCGCAGAGGGGGGGAAAAACAAAAATGCGTGGGTATGAAAATTATTTTCCCTACGCATGCAGGGCTGGGAATGAAAAATTTCGAAAGTTTTCGACCCCGTGACAAATTAAATTCACCGGCAAACATAAGGAGGAGGGTAAAACACGCAAACCCTATGTTTACCTTTTGATATTTATTGTGCTCCAAAGTTCGGCGTCGTTAAATACTTACGACTCGCGTTATCGTCAACCGAGCTCCAATGGCTTTCATTTTTCATCGCGAGACCCGGAAAGCGGTGGCGTTTTTTCACGGACAAAAAAATGTTATGAAAAAAAAAAAAAAAAAAAAAAAAAAAGCGCCCCCAAAAATAGTGACCCCCGGCAAGTCCCGGGTCGCACACAATACACGCGCGTACGAACAGACTGGCAGCCGCGCAAGCGTTTGTCCCGTAAAAACCGTAACATAAATAGCGAGGACACGGGAATGCTTTTTCCCACGGGCACAGGACCACTGGAACGCAAGCCGTGCACAGGTATGTGTGTACACGAGTGCGCACCAGTTTGCCCGAGAGCAACAGTTGTCCACCCAGCACTTCTCGGCAGATAATCCTTGGGGGGGGGGAGGGGGGGGAAGATGCGCGCGAGAGAGGATAAGGGATACCTTGTCACTGCAAGCTCCCGCTTTATTGTACACGCGCACGCGAGAGCTGCACGCCTAAGCTATTACCTTCTGAGGTTCATATGGCAGTACGTAGCTTAGCGGTGTCAAGCAATCAAGCGCGTAATTGGATTGCACCGTAGGAGTCGTACTCAAGACCCCCCTTTATTTTGTTTTTGTTGGCAACGTTAAAGTTGACCGTCGGAGGGGGGGGGGCAGAAATTTTTGTTTTTCTTCGAGATGGTGGGCAGGATGGATTGCTTTTGATACTCCAATACATCACAGCACCCGACGGCAGTATAGCGTTTGCCGCGTCACAGTCTATGTCACCACTGTATAGAGTCACTTAGTATGAATTGATTGTTCAACAAATGCATATGTACACACCTGTACCTGTACCCATAAGTGTGTCCGACTATATATTGACCAATACTACTCGGAAGCAGCAGACTATCACCACTGATTAACTGACCGGCTGCTGGATTCTCGTTTGATATACCCATACATATACATATATATACCTCTACCTTATACATTTATGTCACACTCACATTTTTACGTACCCCCCCCCCCCCTTATGTACCTTTACGTATATCTCTTGTCGCGAGATTTGGGCATGATTATTTTATGAGCACTTCGAAATGGAAACTTTTTTACACTACTCATAATATTATGATGGAAAAAAATATTTCGCAAAATGTCGCGATGTACAATAATGTTTATGTAAAGTGTCTTAACGAATATTTTCTTAAATAATTTGACGCTTTTTTTCACTTTCGCGTTTTTTTTGGCCCGAAAAAAATTGTAAGTATAACAAGTTGTAAATAATAAAGGAAAACTTTTTTTCTATTTCAAATGGCGCAACAAATTTTCAGAAACAAATTGCAAAGCTAAGCGCTTGAAAAAAAATAATCCATGCCCAAGTCTGTGAGTGACGAAAAAAAAGAATATAGAGCAAGCATCCGTTATAATTTTTTTTTTTTTATCCCCCGAACGTATGTAAAATGTGCGTGTGTACCTATGTATTGTTTTTTCAGGTCGGCCAATCCTTTGCCATGCGATGTCGCTGCAGAGCCCGAGACTTCGACACTACAGGTCGAGCAACAACGCATTTTTTTATTCTCAATTTCACCTGATTATTGATATTGTTGTTATTAGTGTTGATGTATATTTTTGCTTAGCTACAGTGCCTTTTTTTTTCTCTCACTCTCAAGCACCGCTACTTGTTTCACTAATCCTCTCATCGTTTTGGTCCTTTTTCTGTTGTATGAGTGTGTGTGCCTTTGTTTACTTGTTTGTTGCTATTTTATAATATTCACACCATGTTACCACATACATATATCTTTGTGTTTCACAAACAGCAAATTTCGTATTGTATCTGTTATGGCTCTACCATCGAATAAATTATAGAAAAGCCTAACATTTTTAGCATCCGCATGTACACATGATATTGCATTAAATGTACGCTTTCGAATGTCTCTCTGAACGGCTATCGGTGCGCCACATGGGATCCATTTACATTCATTACTCTCATACAATATGGACAAACTCTACTGTCGCTCCCGTATTAATTATTCATTACCGTTGAAATTCGTATGTTTATTTGATTACTTGCTACCACATTATTTTCGCAGGATAGAATAATACCATTATCGAAATAATAATTATAATTGGCGTTGTGCGCTGAAATTTGTATTTTCAGTATATAATGACCATTTCACGTATCAATCACTGTTTTTTTAGCAAGAGTATTTAATTTGTTGTAAAGTTACACAAACAGAGCGAAGCAAAGTATGAAAAATGAAAACGATAAAAAAACTGATAATCATATTAGTAAAGGAACTCTTAAAAAAATTTTTTTTTTTTTTCCAACTCTACCTTGTGAATCAAATGTATTTACGCAATTGAAAGCGACTTTATATACTTACCTCCAGCTTATAAAGTTTGTTCTTATAAACAAGCCATTTTTTTATAGTTTCTTGGGGAAAGAAGAGTACAATGCGACTGGAAGGTATGAAGAGGGACCAAATCTTAAATGTATGAATTAAAGAGTAACAGAACGCCGCAAGGTTTGACAAAATAAACGGCCAAACAGTTGCATTAACGAACAAACCACATATTTTTGCGAGTCGTCGCAATTCAAATTATTTGTTTCTCTTTGATTAGTTGATTCTAAAAAATAGATATCCCTTGTGTGTCGAAAAGCTATAAATTGTCCTCTTCTTTTCCCAGACTAGGGAACAATAATAAGATGACTCTATACCATCATCTCTGTTGAGTTAAATCTTGTAAATACGTATGTAACATAATACGTCATCACTTCGAAATGTGCGATCTCATCGATATTGTTTCTTTAGATGTGACAACTAAAAGCTATCAACAAATTATAAGCATGAAAAGCACGAAATAAACTAACGAGATTTCAATAATCTGACCTAATTAAAAATATCGTAAAATTTTATGAACAATAATAAAAATGGCCAAAAACGTCACGACTCGATTGATTGATGCGCCAGTTAAACACATCAGTCTCGTACATAATCATAGGAGGGGCCTCGAAACAAGGAGTAATCGTAACGAGGTTGATTTTTTTTTTCTCGGGCTTTCAGGACCATGACGGCGATCTGCTTCGTCTGCAACCTGCCGATCCTGAGCCACCAGGTGGGCGGACGATCCAATTGGCTCAACTCGAGTCCTCGCAACGGTATGGGAGGCTGTGGTGTGCATAGGTGGTTGCCCAACCATCATCGCGATCCCGATGCAAAATGTCTAGAGCTCGACTGCTTCGTGTGTAAGTAATCGAACTCGGCGGCTGTCGCGATGGAGCACAGAGCTATTCAAGGTTACCAAATTTTAATATTATTTTTACTTCCATCGAACTTGGGAAACATTGAAACGTAAAACAATTATAATTTTAGGAGGTTACTAGAATATTATTTCTTTTTTGTTCTTTTCATAACTTTCCGTGGATTTTTTAATTTTTATAAATGAATTCATAGATAAATACAAATCTAACGACGAGTGGGTAAAAATTTGTTCATCGAATTTTTCCACTCTTGCTTTACGTATAGAGAAATATTAATATTTTTAAATGATCAATACTAATTTTTGTTAAACAAAAAAAAATAAAGAACACCGACATAAGATCGACGTGATTTTTCAGCCGGCTCTTGATGGTGCGATTCGCGCGGCCATCCAACTGCCGACGACACCGTGATTTGTAAATATACACCTATGCACAGCACAGCCTTCCATCCTGTTGCGTGGTCTCGAGTTGGGACCGGATATTCAAAAGGATAGTCATGAATTGCTCTCATAAATGATTTGAATGATCCAGGTGGGCCTGGTATGGCAGGGCGGCAATGGTTGGGACGACCTCATGCGCGAGCAAGTCGAGGAGTCCACCCTCAAGCAGCGACTGGGTAAGAGAAAACACCCGACACGAGGAAAAAAAAAATATATATATATATATATATTTTATCTCACCACTCGATCGACGAGTCAAAAATATCAACCTATCAAAGCCCGTTAATCGAGAGGGGGAACAAAGGAAATTAATAACCCAAAGTTCTCCCTCTTAACTTTCAAAGACGGGGTCATTTTTCACTCTCGCCAGTTTGTACCAACTTTTCCACGAATATTCACGCCACCTGCTCCTTTGGGAAACTTTGGGGGGGAGGGGGGCAAGGCGCTTTGAGGTGACTCTAATTGGGGGGGGCTTCGCTCGACAGGCACCGGGCGAAGGGACTCGGCGGCGCAGATCTCGCCGCCCAACGAGCTGCAGGAGCCCTCGCCGATCAACCAGGGCCGGCGTCGGCGCTCCTCGCTGGCCCAGCTGACGGACATCCTGCGGGAGTGGGGCGGCGCGGGGACCGGGGCCGGCAGCAAAACGGGGACGCGGAACAACACCAAGCTCAGCAGGAGGGAGACCCTGGCCGACATAGCCAAGTCACTGCCCTGGTCCAGGCAGACCACCAACGACGCCAGCCACTTGGCGAACCTGCGCAAGAGGCGCGAGAGCTCCGTGGACAGTGGCATACGCAGCCAGGCGTCGAGCAAGTCCGGCCGGCGCGACTCCTCGGCCATCAGCGACCTCAAGAATGACTTTGCCCGGCTGTGGGGCAAGAAGGACGCCCAGCCGCAGGTCCCGGCACAACCGCCCACCGTCATCTCGCCCACGCCTCGGCGAGGTCAGCCGGCTTCTACTGTTTTTCTTTCTTTTTTTTTTATCTCCCTCTCTCTCTCTCAGTGCTCACCCGTTGTTGGTGTGTATTTGCAAACCCTCCATGGTTTGATGGATTGCCTACTCATTTCGTGCGGGTGAAAAAAAAAGGGGGGGGGGGGGACGAGAAAAGGCAAACTTCGCTTGGCGCTGATTGGTATCGCACGACGGTAAATAACTCGTGAATCCACTTTTGGACAGCCGTTGATTACTCGAACGGCCCGCGGGGGTGCACACGCAACGTGTGTATACGTGCGAGACATTAGTGGGGTATGTTGCCGTGGCGTGAGGAGTCGGTAATTTATCTCATCTCTGGTGGGTAGGGCGCGCGAAATAACAACCCTTTGACATGAAGTCTCCGGGCCTACGTTCTCTCAGTCAAGGTCGTTTCCATCGTTAATTGGCTCTTTCTGTTCGCGCTCCCCGCCAAAGGTCGTTGAGCTCGTTAGTGGCACGCTCGCGTATCAACGTGGAGATCGTGCTTGCACGCGAAGGATTGCTGTATAATATATTGTCGCTTTTGAATGAAGATTTTCGGCCTACCGTGGGGGGATGGATGTATGGAAAGAAACTTTTTTTACCATCAGCTGCTAAGGAAGAGTCCCGTCCTTATCTGCTTCAGGTTCCGGGGAGTCGCGAAACTCCAGACGAGGCTCGGGCGAGAGCGGCAGGTCAAGAAAGGACTCGGTTTACGGCCAGTCACCGAGCCCCAACGAGCGGATCCACCAGTGCAGGCACCACAGGCGCCGACAGTCCCAGCAGTCGGTTGACTTGGGCCAAGGCAACGCCAGCGCCGCCGTCAAGTACTACAGGAGCGACCAGCGTCCCAGTGCCTCCAGTACCGACAGCTCGGCCAGCAATGCCGTCAGGTGTGTGTATATGCAGGATCGATACACATCGGATATTATTTTTAGCCCTCGTCCTGCGCCGGTAACGCAGTACCGGCGAAGAAAGTAAACTCGCTGTCAGTTACCCCTCAATTTGAAATCACAAATTCACCCTCATACCTTTTGTAAATTTAAAGCGTTTGTTATTATCACTGGACAATGTAAAAGCATGAGATTGACCGTTGTGAAATGGTACACGATTAGGGAGCAGCTCGAGGCGAGGAACCAGCAAAACGAGAGATCGAGCAGCGCCGATGCAAGGACAACGTCGACGTCGACGGGTACCGAGTCGACCACGAAATACCTGACACTGGAGCCGCACGTGCAGGCGCCCACGATAATCACGTCTTCGGTGACGCCACCCGCGGTCTCGCCCACCACCAAAAACAACAGCCTGCAACCCCTGGCCCTGCCCGGCACGACCTCCGGCAGCTCCAGTCCCCTCGGCTCGCCCAACATCGGTGGCACCCCCACGCACCCGCTCGTCTCCAGCCGCAGGGACTCGACCACCCAGGTAATTATTCTCGATTGCCCATCCCTCCTTTTTTTTTTTCTTGTTTTTTTTTTTTTTTTTGGCTGAAGTTTTTCATTGTCTTCAGTGCTACTACAAGACGAAGGAAACGTCGCCGAACAAGCTGAGACTGACCAGGCAGGCGACGGCGATAGACGAGTCCCTTCCACCACCCGGCAGACGGGGCAGCCAGCCAACCCTGTCCCCGGACCTGGACGACGGAGGTGAGCTCGTTCCGAGGTGGCAGTGCGCGCGTCGGTGGCAATGTACCGATTTGTCGATTTATAGAGAAAAAATATCTGTGCACAGGACACAAGGCGCGCAGGGACTCGCTCAGTCCAGACTCGGCGTCGTACCCGCGGCGCCGCGACTCGAGGAGCCACCTGAGCCCGGACAGGAACGCGGTCGACAAGCGGGACATAAGCCCCATCAGGTCGCGGAAGGGCAGACTGAGGAGACAATCGACATCGATAGCCGGGCGGCCGCCTAGGTAAGGCTCGCGCCCACGTCCGACCAAACTCGGGGTTGTACTACTGGCGTTGGGGTTTTGCAGGTCACCCGACAGCTCGTCGTGCTCGTCGCGGGACCCGAGCCCGTGCGGCAGGCCGCCCAGCGCGCAACACGCACCTGTGATACGAAGACAATCAACCACCGAGGAGATACTGATAGCCCGGGGCTTTAGGCGCCAAAGCACCACGGAAGAGATGATACGGTGTAGGAACTTTCGCAGACAGAGTTCACAGAGCGACGATCAGGTACTGAGGGTATATGTCCCAATGACTGTCGAGCTATGTACATTTGTGTATACGTGTGCGCGTACCTGCGAGGATGTGGGCACAGGTCCGGAGCAAGGCAACGCAAAACCAATCTATCTTAATCTTGACTGATGTATTTATACATACACAAATTTTTTTTCTTTTTTTTTCTCTGTAGCTTGATTGTGTACATTAGAATAGTTGTTGGTAGGAGTAGACGTGCTCGGCTTGGTAAGCCTCACCTCTGGTGATTCTCGACAGGTGCAGCGTTACCGGGGTCGCCGCGACAGCTCGGCGCAGATAACGGACGGGACTTTCGCCTCGATGACGGTCGAGACGTCGAGCACGTTTTTCGACACGAGCACGCAGACGGGTAAGCCATACGTATATATACACGCAATCAAACCTGCAAGCGGGGGGTAGGGGTTGGAAAGAAACACTTTGAATTATCGCGCCACACGTTACACCTCACATGCGCGATCGAGAATACATAGTGTGTCCTTCGGCTGGGCGCTCGCACCCTCGGCTCGACGACGCGTGCGCACCCCCGACCACCTATACGTACCGTGGCCGTGCAGCCACAGTCCCACGAGGTGGCGGAACAACGGAGCACAGCTGCCTAGACAAACGCATAATAGCTGCAGGCGGGGGCGTAAGGTCGCCCGCGACTCCGCGCTGAATGGCTCGCGTCAACGACAAACAAACAAATGGACGATAGTTTTTTATTTTTTTTATTTATTCATTTAATTTTTTTTTTTTTTTTTTTATTTGTTACCACTCGCGAGTGTATTACATAGAGTGCGTTGGTGCGTGATCTTGGATCCTTCGGGCCGAGGATGGAGGACGAGGAGGAGCAGCCCGACGGATAGCCCCGCACTGGACTGCACGGTAATTACAGCCAGCCCTTACATGCCCGCGGTCCAGCAAGTGTCTACGAGGTTAGCATCCCTCCCTGGCTATGGTTTTGTGTATTAGCTAGGTTTGTTTATTTTATTTTATTTTTTTTTTTTTTGGCCACCCCTTCCCCGTTTCTCTCGGAATTTCGGAGAAACAACGAAGCCTCTGCTCTCTCTTTCTCTCCCTGTGTTTACGTCTAAAGCCCCAGCCTGCCTGTCAGTTAACCACCAACGCCCCCTCCGTTGCACGTGTGGCGGTAGGCACGCGTTACGATCTTCCTCCGAGGGGGAGAAGAAAAAGAAAAAAAAAAAAATTGCCCTGGTTCCCGTGCACCGGGGCACAATAGTATGGGGACCACCTGTAGGAGGACCGTGCGGTTAAAAAGGGCATGCCGGCCCACTGAGATACACATCTCGCGTGTCGGGCCGCACTTTCTTGCGGACGCTTGGTACTTTGGCCAGTTTGTGTTTCTTATCGCGAGAGTTGGCGCTCGGCCTTCGCGCGATTCCCTCGTTTTGCTTTTCGCGCACGGCCTCTCCGGCCTCGATGTTTCATTCATTAGGTGCTCCGTGTGTGTACGTATCGTATAGGAAGGGGGGGGGGCAACGTGACACGGGGTATAACGCGTGTGCGTGCGTAGGAGGAACGTAAAGGGCTCCCCCAACCACTATCATCGGCATCCTTGAATCGCCCCCCCCCCTCCTTTCCTCCCTTTTCTGATGTAGATACACGCGTGGCACTGCTGAGGGATGTGTTTTTTTTTGTCCTTTCGGTGAGACTCTTTTTTTCTTTCAGCTCCTCCCTGTATTTTTTTTTTTCTGTTCCCTCGCTTTGAGCTCTCTCGTTTGCACTGGAATCGAAGAAAGCCCCCCCCCCCCTTTTAATGTACCTTTTTCATGTGCTCGGCTACCCGATACCCCTCGGCTAATTTACCTACGCGTGAACGGCTTCATTTTTCTTCACCTTCGGCCGTTTCGCGCTGTTTTTACGACCTTCCTCTCCCCCAACTGCTCCTTCCGATTCACGCGACCGTCAGTTTATGGAAGGTGAACAAAAACACCCGCTCGGTTGGTGTGCTCGTGCATCGTCGGGTTAAAAATAATGAATTTTAAAATTACCACCATCGCCGTCGGCTTATTGATTATTTGTTTGCATCGGGATATTTTTCTCAATGCTAGTAGAGCTGTACCGTATCCTTGGAACAGCGGCTTTTATGTACTTTGGCTCGCGTGTCTCATAAAAATTACCAACGCCTCTTTCTATCGACTCTGTTGGGCAGACTAGCGATGAAAATTGTCAAATCGGTTAACCTTAGCATCTGGCGTATTTTTCAAGAATTTCCATCGAAGCTTGATTTTTCTTTTCCCCCCCTCCCCAAAGTTTCGAGCTTGTCCTTCAGAAACTATTCCAATTCAAGAAATTCCTCTCGCCGCATAATAAATCATCCGTTAAGAAACGAAGTAGGTATAAGGTACACAGGTACTCGAAAGACGAGCCGAGGCTCGATGTATACGAGGGTGCGCACACACACGCATCCCCGAGTGGGTACAATTTGCGGAATTCCGAGTATCGAGTTTTCTAATGAAGAAATTCATTTAGCTCCCCGAGAAGTCCTTGCCAACTTCCCGTGCAAAATTTATGAGATTCCTCCGGCTGGTCTCTCGTAACCGTGTACTACGTATTATACCCTCCTCCGAGTGGTTCAGCTACGAAAAGTCGACACACGCAGCAGTTGGGTCCATGTAATATATATATATATCAGAAAAAATCCTCTTAGCTCTTTCTCTCGATCCGCACCCCACCAATTACAAGGATCGCGTGTCAGAAACGTAAAACGCCTCGGGGATAACTTTTTTGTTCCCTTTTCTGTTCGGGCGCAGAAAAGCCGGGGCGATAGGAAAGACAGAGAGCCATACGGAGATTTTGTCCCCCCCCCCCACCCCCCCGAGCACCGCAGTCGATAAGTCGCAACGAAGGGATTACTCGGCCGTAAACTTTCTTGTTTTCCCTCACAAGGTGTACGTGTATATATACATGTGGGTGCGTGGGGCGATTAATCTCCGTCGTCTCTGCCGCTGAAATCATCCAAGTTGCTCACGTTTCACGAGCAATTTTTCTGCCCGTTCCTAAATATATACCGTTCATTAAGAGCTCATCCCTCGGTCATTTTTATACCTCCGCGTTGTGCTCCCGCTTTGTTTTTGAATTTCGCCGCAGCCCATCAGTCGTGCACACACACGCAGTAGGGATAAAATAATCACCGGCTGTCCATCGTTGGACGCACCCGAGTGTATCGGATAGCGCGTATACATAACGTAGAGCTCATCGGATGAGACGGCCGCTCGATTTTCCCACTCATCTGTTTTCCCATTCCTCCTCTCGTGCTCACGCACGCTATACTCCATTGGCGCGTTTGTACATTATCTTCCATACGTATGGAACGTATTTTCTGCAACGGGCATACATTTTTTTTTTTTTCCTCCTACGTGTACTCTATTGATGGCAAAACGAACGGTGTCGGTATATCAACGCCGTGTTTACCACGGCTCACGGGCGTTCCGTGGGTTTAATCGGGGGATGAATGGCGAGAGAATTCAATTTTAGCCGCATACATGCCCTGCGTGTTTTTTTCTCCCCCCCCCCCCTTCCGTCCTCACCTTTTTTTTCCTTCATATACACAATATAATGCTCTGTTCGCGATATCGATCGACTGCTGAAGCTGCTTTTATTACTCTATCTCTCTCTCTCTCTCTCTCTCTGCTCTGCTGCTCCGTTTTTACGTAAGCTTTTTCCATCGATTTAGTTACGAAATCATTTTTTCACCCCTTCGAAGTACAATTTTTCACGTGGCAAAAAAAGAAAAGTTTGCACTGCCATGGTGTTTTTGCACTCGATTGTTCGAACGACTCGCACCAAATACGCACAAAAAGTAGTACGGGTGTGCAAATAAAACTGCGGGGGATGAGGGGAAAAAAAAATGGGAGATAAAAGCACGGGGTATAAGTAACACTTACTTGTGGACGGATAACCGATTCGCGCGACGAGAATCAAGAGCAGTGGGGGCAGAGCAGGCGGGGGAGGAAGAGAGCTACAGAGGCTGCTTCGAATGGGAAATTCGATTCTCGGTACAATTGAATTAGCCTTCCAATCCCATGTCTAATGGACTTTGAATTGAAAATTTTCTTTTTTCATCGAGCCCCGCTGGACGCCCGAGTTAAGAACAGCCGAGCTAAGAGGGGGTGCCGGCTTTTCACTGCACCGCTCAATTTTAAACGTTGCAGGAATTTTTCATTCAATTTTTGTTTACTGTACAATTAAATTGATGACAATCACACCTGCATCATGAAATTTCATATCTAAAAATCATAAAAGGATTTCGCTCTAAGAACTGTAGATGGACCCAGGAGTAAAAATTTTTCATTTAAAAATCGGTTGTTTGCGTAACAAGTACGAAAAAATTGTACGAGTGTTGATTGACAGCCACGAGCGCGAGTCAGTCACTCGAGTGCGGGGGAAGAACTTTTTCCGCGATACACGTAAGGACAATCAATTTGCACGTTGTCAATAAATAATAGTAAAGGAAAAGTGATTTGAACAAGGGCTTACTGCTTGCACATCTTTCGCACAAGGTACACATACGTGTTTTATTTTTTACCATCACTCGCAAACCGTAGCAGTCGGAAAACAGTAACAGAAAACTCGCTACCAACTGCCGGGGAAAGTCAAAGAAACTGGATCAGTAGTAAATAGAGATGCAGACTCTGAAAGCAAAATAACAGTATTCCAAGGGAAAAAAAAATCCAAGGAAGCCTTATTGTTCCCTTGAAAGGAAACTCATGCATTATTTACGGTCTGGAGCCATATTTGAAAAAATACGAATGTACTATATACACTATTTGTTTTAACCATTTACCTTTTACCTTGACCAAGCGGATGAAATTTTATGATTATAATCAAAAGATTCATCGGTACCTAAATACAATTATTTTTCATATACCCTTCGTGTTTGCAGTGACAAGTTATATGTTTACAGTATCGGACTATTTTCCAAAGATTTATAGGAAATATTCGAGATGTTTACGCGTAAAAGTACTTTTCGCTGTATGGGAAAGAATTTTTCAAACACTTTATTCGAGCGAAAGATATTTGTAAGCTCTAACCGAGTGGAAAATATTTTTGTACGCTCGTCTATTTCGTTGGACTCCCGGAAGATCGTTCGAATGAATTTTTCATACCAGAGTATCCTTCAGCTTTTCTCCAGCACTTGATGTCGCTCGTCAAAAAAGCCGTGGGGTGAGAAAGTAAAAAGCCATTAGGGGCCCAAGTTTAAATTGTTTTTATTTCTTTAACATTCGACGAATCATTAGAGTTGTCGGGTTTTATTGCGCAAAGGGGATCTCGATACCCACCTGTAAAAATTACGAGACGTCAGGGCTGGGACGAATATCTTTTAATTGCCGTCCAACAATCTTTTCCATTGTTTTTAAAAGCCCGCAAATCACGGCTGAATCAAGATCTTAATTGTAGGCCACTGTGTGGTAATCGGCGCCAAAAGTCTTATCGTTTCGAGGCCGAAAAAAAAAAAAAAAAATCGGAGGAGCATTTAGCTCGCGTTAAGAATACTTAAACTTCTCGGTATATTCACGAGAGACGCGTGCACGCGGGGATCGGGTCAAAGGGAGCTTTAATTTCCGGGAGATATTCCTGACGGATAGGAATACTACGGACGAGGAGCCGTTGCTTGTTCGTGTATTCAAATGGTCCCCCTTGAAGGTCCGACAAACCACGTTAACTCGAAACGAAATCGCTCCCAGGGGATCCGTCGAAATTCCTTCCGCACCGGTGGTTCTTTCGCTTACGCGAATCTTCCACGCAACCGGTTTCCTTTTTTTTTCAACTATGATTTCGTAACGTTTTGCACCCCGACGCGATCAAACTTTCACCCAAATAGGGAACACGCGCGCGCGTAAACACGCCCACGTACGCGGCTGTAACGCGATTCGAAAGATCGCCCCGTCACGCGTGGCTCGAGGCAAGAGTTCAAGGCGCGAATCAATTCCCACGTACTCGATACACTCGTGGATACACCCAATCTCCCCCCCCCCCACCTCCACCACATGGCCAAAGAAAACTTCAAGGCTCACGATTTTTATACCCCCCTCCCCTCTATACCTTGTTTGGCTACGATGCATAGAGCGAGAACAGTTGGGGTTTTGTTTTTTCCAATTTTCCGAAGCTGACGAGGCACGAAACGACCCCCCGGCGAATTCCGCCTGTTTATTTACACGGAAGGGAAGAAGAGAGAGCGCAGCCGGCTGTCATCCATCTCCCGCGAGTCCGTATATGAAAATTCCAACGGAGCGGCACGAGCAGGAATCCCACGTACATAGCCGTACAGGGGTGCAAATCGTCTATGGTGGGGGGGGGGAAGATAGACGCTCCATATAGACACCTCACACGCACGAGAGCCACACCCTTCGGCATATATAATTGCGCTCGTTAATTGGATTAGAGCGAGCGTCGCGATAATTACGCGTGTGCGCCTGTACACTGATGTGTGCATTTGCGTAGCAAGCGCTGGGAATTAAGTTATAGGTACACCTACGGCGGATACAGATTTTTTCGGGCTGCGTCTGACCGAACGCCGACTCGATCTACTTGCGTGGCTTTTCGAGGCGCGGTCGTTGCCGTTGGGCAGAAAAAAAAAAAAAAAAAAAAAACAAAAACAACTTGCGGCGTTTTGATTTCAGAGCCGTCCCCGCTCTACGATAACAACCATTACCACGAGGAGTGCCTGAAATGTAACAGCTGCGGTCTCAACTTGACGGGGCCGAATCAGAAGCGGGCGCGCAGGTATTTGTTTTCCCACCCTCGTATACCTTTGTCTCGATTGATCAATTATACGATACGCCCGGCGGGTATGCCTATAGGTTCAAGAACCACATTCTCTGTGATCTGCACTTTGCTGACGTGGCGCTGATGGAGTGCTCGGACTTTATGCAACAGTTGCGCAGCTTCAAGCCCCAAAGTTTAGGCTGCGCAGTTGCCAGGAGAAAGTCTTCGACGACCCTCATTTTTCCTCTACCACCGCAAGCTTGTTCAGGTATGATGTACACTATTCTTCCTTCCTTTTTTTTTTCTCATTACAATAACAATAATCATGACGATGTAAAAATACACTCATTGTCCGATGGACGAGCACGTGTACGTGCGACGAAAGAAGATGAAATTTTAACACCACGAGACGACGGCGTGGGGGATTTTTTTTTTTTTTTTTCTTTACGGCGCCCTCGTAAATGTTAATGAAAACGTCCTGCTCAAACATTCCGCGGAACATGATCCACACGGGGGGGGGGGGGGAAAGGAAAAGCGATAAAAGCACCGCTGATGAAAACGTCAACCCTTTTTTTTTTCGCTACGATGACGGCAAATTATCGTTTTTACTGCCCGCGCGTGCCTTGTCGCTTTTTCCATCATCGCGCGGTGAATCGGATCCTTCGATAAACTAGAAAATCCTCGGCGAGACCGGTGGGACGATTCACTGCTATTGGCACTTCTCCGACGACGTCAGGGGGGGGGGGTTGGAAAATTTGAAACTGAGAAAGAGACAAGGGGGGGAGAGCCACAGGTGGTTCGTCAGCCATCGATTTTCCCCGAGCCGTGCTCTCTTTCCCCCATTCATTCATAAAGTTGAAGCAGCCCCAAAGCAAAGGAAGGAAACAACAGTCGACGTGAGCTGCGAGGGACGGAGGGCAGGAGAGAAGAAAGCGTCCGTAGGCAGGTCACTCTAAGTTCGAATACCAAGCCCCGCTGGATAATAGCTTGGTGTTCTACCTTACAGTGATTTGATTGCGGTGTCGACCACCACCACGCAGCTCTACAACTTCCAGAGGGTGGATTTTGTTCACGAGGATGCGTTGCCTGGAGTCGCAGTTCGGCGGGGATGAGAGAGAAAAGCCACTTGAGCGAGTTTATCGCGTATACATGCTCTCCGGGAGTTTGATTAGCCGACAAGTATAACGAGATTACTCCTCTCGCTTTACCTATACCCCGATGTCTCGGGCTGTTGTGTACACCTCCGTAATATTGTTTTTTTTTCCTCCGTTTCGTTGAGCTTGGATTTTCGCCGCTATTGCGGGAGACTTTTGTTTTGCCAATCGAAACTTTATTTTATTCGGTCGCACCTTCTGATACGTCGATATAATATGTACGTGACAGATTCGATTGATTATGATTATTGCGTGTTTTTCGGGGTGCTTACATTGCGAAGCTGACGATTTTATTTAACTACCAATTTGTTTCGGAAAATTTTTATATACAAAATGACACAAGTGATATTTCAGTAAAAGAATTTTGAAAAAAGAATTTAGATTAAATAACGTATTTTATTGATATTTTTTTTTCAATTAAATGATATCAAAGTAGTATATGGTACATTTAGGTGAAAAACTTTGTCTTTAATACTTTCCCTATACTAAAATCATTCTTCAACATAAGTTCGAGATGAAAATTTTTTTACATTATTTTGAGATGCTATGGTTTCTAAAATTTATTCATGTTAAAATTAATTGACAAAGTACATTTCGAGTAATATGTACGTGAATATACCTTTGAGATTAAATACATAAACATTTCCATGTTTTGATTAAACTTACATCACTCATGGAACCAGCCTAAAGTCACAACAGTCCAAAATTTAGTAATTAATTTTAACGATCCCTAATTGCGGAGTAGGTATACTCGTATTTAGAGCCACGGAAGCTCTGCTTTCACGTCACTGAGTAATGACAAACATAAATTCGTCGGAAGTAATATAAATTGAGGAATCCACAGTCCAAACATTCAACGCTGAAATGGACGCTATATGTGCTCAACTACGCCCCTACCGTTGATTTGATTTGAAACGGTACTTATTCATGCCATGGCCATACGCTCGAATGGCAGTGCGTACAAAAATTTTCAATATACAATTAGAATACAAAATTATTCGTTTTCAATGAAAGAATAACAAAGCTTCAATAAACAGCGCAGTGAACAAATTAATACAATAATAAACAGGCATAGCTATGGTTTGGGTAACAAAATTTGAATTTTTATCGATTTATTGGGATACAGGGACAAAGCTCTCGCAGTAAAATTTTTAATAATTGATGAAATGCTTTATTTGTACTCGATTTTTCAAAGAAACAAATAGTTAGGAGTAAAGTAGGTACTCGACCAATCATTTAAATACTTTTGACCAATATACATTTCTTTTTTCTTTTAAAACACACTGCATTTATTTTACAGAAGAAGAAAAAAAAAGATGTACAAGAAGTAATTAAAAAACAAAAATGTTCAGGATAAATAATAAATAACGTTTAGGGTAAAAAAAAATAACATAAAAAAGTATTATTTACAACACCCAAGGCAGCTGCGAAGCAAATTGATGAAACAAAGAAATATCCATTCCTCAAATGAAAACTTGGTGTTGCTTTGCCGGTAAAACCCGTAATCGGCACCTCGCGAAACACGCACCCACCCCATTTTTGTTATCTATAATCGCATTGACCGGGACGGGGGTGTGTAACCGTGCCTCAGACGAGTTCTGCCAAGAGTTCCCGCACAACCTGATCCCGACGCCGGGCTACTGGATCGAGTGCTCGCGCCAACAGATAAACACCGACACGATATACGATGAGAGCGAGAGCGACCGCGAGGTCACGGACATCGAGCAACAGACCGAGCTCGAGCTCCAGGAGCCCCTCCCGGCCCTCAACAGCGGCAGCAGTTGCTCGATGCGCCACGCCAGTCGGCACGACTACTGCCTGTTCGAGGAGAACGAGCTCGACGGCGACGAGGTGCCCAAAAAGAAGACCGCCATCGAGGAACAATGGGAGAAGAACCAGGTATGCCCAGTCCTCCTCGACGCCACAGTTATCTTCATTCCTATGTGTATGTATACCGAATTTTCAGGGCTTCGAGCTCACCTCCGTCGAGCAGGAGACGTACGAAAAGTACTTTTACGGGACCGAGCACTGGAACTACTTCACGAACGACGAGGACCTGGGCCCCGTCATACTGAGCATCAAGCAGGAGATGCTCAACAACAGGGACCAGTTTCGCATCCTCGTGCGGGCCATCAGCTACACGGTCCACGGCCTCATACCGGCCAGCTGCGTGTTTGCCGACAGGCAAGTTTTTTCTATTACCCTCCCACTCGGACATGAACGAGCAAAATGGATGTGTCGCCCAACAGGTACAACCGCGAGGAGGTGGTGCGAAGTTTGGGCAAGGAGGTCAACATAAACCCACCCCTGACGCTGGGCCAGTTGCCCGACACGCCCGAGGAGCTGCTCAAACTCGACCAGGTGTTCATCAAGTCGGAGCTCAAGGTCGGGGTGATATACGTCAAGGAGGGCCAGTACACCGAGGAGGAGATACTCGACAACAACGACGAGTCGGCGAGCTTCGAGGAGTTTCTCATGATACTCGGGGAAAAGGTGCGGCTCAAGGGCTTCGACAAGTACAAGGGCGGCCTCGACACCGTCCACGACCTCACGGGCCTCTACTCGGTATACACCAACTGGCGCGGCATCGAGATCATGTTCCACGTCTCCACCCAACTGCCCTACGAGAAACACGACCCCCAAAAGGTATACATCTCTCTCACTCTCTACAATCATGTACGTACGTAGGGTGTAAAACCGATCGTTTGGTCGCAGCTCCAGAGAAAGCGGCACATCGGCAACGACATAGTCTGCGTCGTTTTCCTCGAGGCGGACAACACGAGCTTCAGCCCGGCTTGCATAAAGTCGCACTTCCTCCACACGTTCATCATCGTAAGGGTCAGTCCGCGCATTAAACGCAAAGTCACGAGGTACGAGGTGTCCGTCGTCACGAGGGACGAGGTGGGCGCGTACAAGCCCTACCTGTGGGAACAGAGCGTCTTCGAACAAACAGGTAAGGACTCGGACCTCGGCTGTCCCCATGGCTCTACCTATACTTGTGATGTCCATTGGTTTCAGGACCCATGTTTCGAGAGTGGATCCTCACGAAGATCGTCAACGGGGAGCGAGCTAGTTACTCGGCGCCAAAGTTCGCCAGGATGCAGGAGAGGACGAGGAGCCAGATGCTCGAGGACATAGTGGCGAACTTGCAGAATCACGCGGAGACGGGTCAGATACCGAAGCCTTACAGGTACCCTTTTTCTATTGTTTTTTCTCGGTCGAAGGTTTTTTTTTTTTTTTTTTTTTTTCATCACAAACCAACTTGTGTGTATTGTCATCCACCAGGCGTGGGTCGTGGCGGCCGATCGGGTGCATGAGGCCGTCCTCGCCACTGCTCGACTCGGTGAGGGACCAGTTCGAGGACTACGACCAGCTGGCCAAGGACTTTACGAGGGTATTTTTGAACGATTCCGCCAACGTGGCCGTCAACGCGAACCTGTTCGACGTGTCGTTCCTCGTGCCTGGGCCGCACAAACAAAAAGTTCGATTTATCGGGGTACGGGCGATTTTGGGCGTCAGGAGCCGGTGAGTCGACCGTTTGCCTTATTTTATATAGACCCGTACGACAATGATTGGGGGTGACTGGTTGTTTTTTTTTTTTTTTAGAGTTTTTCAAGAGATGCTTTACGGAATCCAAGCTGGTTTCGGGAGCCCACAGGTGCCGGTTGCCGAGTTGTTGGCGCGGCCGGCGCCGACGCTGCTGAGCCCCCAAAAGCCAAAGAGCTCCAATTTCCTTCAGGTCCCGGATGTCGAAAGTCCAAGGTGAGTTGATCGTTATTTTTTTTTGTGTCTGTGCTTTTTTATTTTTCGTTACGTGCATTTTGCATTATTTACAATGTAAAGTGTACAAAATCAGCTGAAAATGAGACTACGTGAGGCATATTACGTATGTTTATGGGTGTATGTACTCTAAAAATAAGTTAGTATTACATGTCGAATGTTTGTATGTTTAATAACGTTTTCCCGTACTATAAATGTTCATTGTAATGGCACATCCATGTCTCCTATCCTCAGAGCACCGCATGATTCTTACAATATTCTATGATGGTCTTACATTTTTTTAAATTGTAAACTCTTTCAGCATCGAGCACGTTTTTTTTTTTTTTTTTTTTTTTTTTTTTTTTTTCTCGAAACGTAAATATATTTGTGAAAATTCGTTGTCCGTGATTGAACTCCGTCTGATTAAATCATTGATCTCTGTATGGTAAAGCTGTAGCATGCAGGTATACGTGTATATATTTGTGAGCATTTTTAAAATTTTTTTCAATCGAAATTCATTGACACTGTAAATTGTGCCATTTATGGTCATTTGGGTAATAAACTTTTCGAGCTTTGGATGTTGTATGTGATGTTAATTTTTATACGGATATTCGATCGATACGATAAGTACGGGAATCTTAAAACGAGAGTCGGAGAAAAAAAAAGTGAACAAAAGGAAGTATACGGGCGTAGGTGCCCAGCTCCAAATCCCAATAGTGCCGTCTAGCGAGTTTCTGTGAGATACTGGTTCTGATCTGTTTAGGCCTAAAAGCACTCCGTCGTCGCCGATGGTCAAGCGCCACGCGATCTTTTCACGCCTTGGCACGATCACCGCGGGTTGGGGCCGGAGTATCCGCAAGCACGGCAGCAACACCCTCTCGGGCGAGGACCGCAAGCGCTGGTCCAGCTCGCAAGACTGCAGAGGTGCGTAAATATGTGACTTTTTTTTTTTTTTTTTTTTTTTTTTCACAAAAAGAGTACGTCTACACGTAAACTATCTACATTTGATAACGTGACAATTTTCAATGCAATATGAAAATGGTCCCAGTCTTATACGCCCATTTAGATTATGAAATACACGTACACAGTAAAAAGTTATGAAAATAGGCCATCTTTAAAATTTACATCTGGTTGGCTATTACAAAAGGTAAACCTTTTTTTATACAGTTGAGAAAGTTGAGTGTACCTTTTTTGCCGGAACAATAATCATTTATCCTCGTATCCTTGAGGGCGATCGGACCAAAGCTTATTTATAAAACCGAAGACAATTAATATTTTAAATTGGCAAAAGCTTTGAAAACATATCCAAACATTTATTTTTTAAACCTACGCTATTCAACTTTACAGTTTTTTTGTTGAAAACCCCGCAACTTTGTTTGGCTAATATTTAAAAACTGTTGTATGATAAAAAAAAAAAAAGGAAACCGAATACATTTAATGAGAATTTCATTAACGGGAGAAAAATCGGCTAAATTGTTTTTATTGAATGACGCTGCTGTTCCAGAAAAAGACGCAAAGGACAAAGAAAAAGCCGCCGCCTCGCTGGCCGTGCCGCGCCTCAGCGTTTGCGCGGACGCCCAGAAAGTCGACAGGGCCAAACTAGCCCAGACAGAGGTAACCAATATACATTCACCAAACGCACCTATGCATACCCGCACTTACGATTGACAAGCTCCATCGCCCCCCTCCGCAGTTCGACATCATAGAGTTCGACCCGGAGACGTTCCGCATCCTCCTGGACTACCTGCACACGGGCTCGTGTCCCCTGACCTGCAGCAACATACCCGGCCTCATCTGCGCCGCCGAGCACTACGACCTGCCCGAGCTCCTCCAGGCGTGCTTCCACCACGCGAAGCAATTCCTACGCATCGAGATCGTCTGCGTGATGCTGTGCGCCCTCGAGAACTACTACTGGCGCTACACCTCCGCCTCGGAGCTCGTCAACATGATCCTCGCGTTCGTCGAGACCCGGGCCTTCCAGCTCTTCCAGAACCCGGACTTTCTCACCCTCAGCGAATCCATGGTCCAGATGATCATGAACCGCGGACTCGAGGTCGGCTCGATTAATCTTCATTTTTTTTTTTTTTTTTTTTTTTTAATTTGCACATTTTACGGGCTGAAAAATAAAAACAACGACAATAACAATGAAATTCGTAGTTGGTGGAGATAAAGAAGTTCGAGGCTATGCTCGGTTGGGCGAAAAACCGGATAAAAAACAAGTCCGAGGCAGAGGCCAGCGTCGAGTTCAAGGGGATCATGGAGCGGCTCAGCAAGGACCTCAAGCTCTACAGGATCACGCCCCAGGAGCTCATCAAGGTTGGTACCGATGGCCAATAGTTGTGGGTGTACTTACCCGTGTATTCCGGTTGTTGGTATATATGTTGTCCTTGCAGATTGTACTGCCGTCAAAGTCGATAAAGCACGAGAGAATCCTCGAGACTCTGATGTACCAGGCGAACACCGGTATCTACAGGAACGTCGATCACTACCTCGAGGCCTACCACTCGAGCCGAGTGCAGAACCAGGAGAGCTTCGACGCCGGCTTTTAACTAATCGCCACGTTTCTATCGAGTCGATAGTCTCATCTAACAAACGAAGGACACGTACTCTCGGGATAATTAATTGCCGATCTTTGATTTTGGGCAAAGCGTTGAATACTTACCCCCTCCCCCCCCCTCACGTGTGCCACTCACGCGACGATTGCGAGTGCGCGTGTAGGGTATGTATGTGCAAATATCGTGTACATTTCCTAGACCTTTTTCACCTGCCTAATGAAGCTTAGCATTGGCCGTAGTTCGCGCTAGCTGTTTACGGTAGTTACGTTCGTCGGACGCGCTGATTGTGGCGTCGAATGGAGTACGCTGTTGTAGACAACGTTGAAGTACTTTTTTTTTTTTAGAGAGATTTAATTTTTTATTAAATTTCAGGCGTGTTTCGATGACTCGTTAACAGTACATTGGTTTTCGGTGCTCTTCGTGTACGACTTTAGTATTTTATTCCAATTCAATACTTTCGAGCGAATATAGAGACGAAAGATTCCTAATAAAAGACGCGTGTATGAAGGTTTTTTTTCTTTTTTTTTTTTTCGCTAGGCTAGGGGAAATCAAACAAAATGAATAACTCAACTTTGAACAAAGGTTTTTAAAAAGTCTGAAGATGTAAAATATACACATGATTAAATACACTTGAGTATGTTTGCGCAGTGAAGAATTAAGTAAGTGTGAAAAAAATTCAACAGCAAAACAAATAATGTGTTTGAGTGCTAATAATGGCACATTTTCTAGTTTTTAATGGTGCAAAATGTACGCACGTCCTTGAGACTCGTGTGCTGAAGAGACTGGGGTGGGCGCTTTTTCGAAAGCAAGCGCTTATCTTGACTCGTTGAATTATGTCATAAGTTTAGCCAAGTAAGGGATTACAATACATTTACGGAAAACGAGCGTGAAGGCGCTTTTCCGACACTACGCGAACGTGGGAGATGTCGGATTTTTTTTTTTCACAACAGAGCCTGAACATTATTATACTCGCATTCCATGGGCTATTTTCGAGGGTGGGGACGCAAAAACAATGCCGGGCAATCAAATTTCCCAAGCTCTATTGATGAACACGTCGAAACAACATTGTTATAACAAACATACTTGGATTTTGGTCTGCCAAGAAGTACTGGTGTCGAGCATATACAGCTGGTATTTTATAATCATTCCAAAGAGAAGAAAAAAAATTAATTAATGAAAAATGTCTTTGCAGTGACAATGACGTATCAGGCGGACATTAAACGAAGTTGCGTTTTAATTTTGGGAAGAAAAAAATATTTCAATGATCACGCCAGTACTTAAAATTTTGACCGAATGTGACAATCTGATATTTAAAAAATATATATATATATATATTACATATGATAAATAAAAGTACGATGTAAAAATAATATAAAGAGTGTTAACGTGGAAATTTGATTAATGATGTTAAATATAAAAATACAAAACTCTAGTAAAGAAAAAAAAACAAGTGTTTGAATTAAAAAAAGAATAATAATAAATTATCGAGAGTTGGTGTTGAATGTAAAAAAAAAAAAAAAAAAAACATATTGCAAGTCTGTTTTGTTTTTCTATCATAGATTTTGTAACTTCAACTTACTCTTTAAGCCAAAAATTCTAAAAGTGTACTAATTTGAGCGGCGAGACCTGCGTATATATTTAGTCATTCTTACTCATCATTGAGATAAGAGCCAGAAACACTTAGAGTATAAGGACTCTTTGAAAGTTAAAATACAAAAAAAAATTATCAAAGGAATAAAAGAGTTTAGCAAAACTGTAAACATGAACACACATTCGAACGTTCGAATCGCGATGATCGAGTGCTCGTTTCATTCCACTCGTGTGATCTAATGTGACAAATAAACATATCGAGATGAAACTTGGCGAATATAGAATAATCATAGTTTTCCGTTTACTTATCCTTTTTTTGATCATTGTCAGAAATAATACAAACATTAAAATGTAAAATTGTTGAACATTTATTCTGTTCGCAAAGTCGCTTTAGGTAACAGTTAAAAAAAAAAAAAGAAAAAAATTTTGTCAAAAAGCTAATTATTTCGAGCTCCGAATGCAGAAATGATATTTTTCATGCAGTCACCCGTAAACACCGTTTTCAATCATTGTTCGAAAATAATATCGGCATTTGAATCGAAATATATACTGTGTACTCAATTCAAAATTAAACACAGATAGAGATGTTTATAAGTTGATGAAGATGTGTGTGTCTTGGAGGAAATTTACAACTAAGACGCCTCAAGCCATGAAATTTCCCATTTATATAAATTGTAATAACATGTTGTAACAAATCCATACAGCAACAAAATTCTTTGGTCAAGTTTCGAGTGATGATGACAAAAAAAGTATCCTCCTCACTTTCATCGCAAAGGGAATCATTATTCGAGAGGCGATTGCCAAAACTATTAAGTGTCTTACTGTTCAGACTATCCAGCTGGACACGTGTAGTTTTTTTAGTCTAGTCTTTTTTAAACAACAAACTCGATCTTGCCAATCAAAAGATTATTAAAAAAATTTTTCGACAATTTTCAAGTGTTAAAAAACATTTGGATTCTCCAAAGCAGTGCAGGCATTGCTTCATCACATGAAAAATAATTTTATCAATGAGAATACATTTTCATTGAGGAAAATCTCATTGTGTAAATACATATTATATCGTTTGTTTGTCCAGCTGTATTGTCTATCGTTCTGTATGCAAATATATATATATAAACAAAAATAAATTAATATATAAATTGTATTGCTGAGAAAAAAATGTTACATCAGAAGATTTAAAAAAAAATAATACACTAAGGATACGTACGGAAAAATATGTACAAATGATGAAGAAAAACATTTTTTGAGCCACGTAGTAGGGTAGCAACGAGTGTTGAAAACTATTAAACCTACATAAAGCTAAAGGAATGCCTTTTTTGATAACCAAGCAATGCGTCAGTTCGTTGCAAATCATGAAATTTCTAATAAATTTTATTTATGCGCGTTAATTGAGGCAGAAATACAAAGTCGATAAAACATAGTGACAAACAGTTTCTGTGCCAGTTAAACGTGAACAAAAAAAAACTTGTAAGTTAATGCCAGTACCATGATATAGTATAGTTTTTCAAAAGATTAGATTTCATAACTGATCGAATAACCAATTATTATACTATACACTCGAGTTTAACATTTTTCGAATGATGAGTAGAATAAAATGACATTTATAATTTCGTTTGCAATAACCATCGTTCTAGTTTTCTTTTATAAGGTTTATGTATTTTATTTTAGAAATTTCCTTTGAGAAAATCGTGATACCCAATAAAAACGTAAATAAGCTAAATAAGTAGCTAAAGACTACGCTTTTGCATAAATAAGGTACAACTGATACATTTATCACCAGAGCAACAAGTTTAATTATAATGTACATAATATCGTGTAAAAAAAAATTTTTATTTTTTCGAGGCTTTTGAGTGTGTTTTCAATATATTGACCTGCAATAACAATTAAAACCGTTAGATGCTGTAAAATAATTTTATGAAAAATTTAAAACGATTTTCATCATTGCCGTTGTCCTGTCGGCAGGCCAGAAAAAACATAAAATATGAAAAAAAGTTTATGAATTGGAAATAGTCAATTTTTGTTATAGAATGGTTTGTTATTAAATATTAAACAAAAAATTTGCATGCTGATGTATGGTTTTTCATTAAAAACGATTTTCGTCGGTATAAATCATTAAGTTAACATTATAAGAAATTTGAAAAAAAATCCGTTAAAAAGAAAATTGCGTTTTCTTTATCAAAATATACTTTTTTTGTGGAAAGTCCATTTATTTCCATTTGTTGCGATCTAGAATGTTGTAAAGCTAAAAAACCGATTTTTTTCACGAGCTATAAATGGTCGTTTCAAGTGTGATTTTGCTTTTTGATCTGGTGAAAATAAAGTCGTGCCTGAAAACGTATCTTCGTACAAATAAAAGAGAAAAATATAAAACAATACAAAAGAATTATTTTACAAAGCACGTATGTCTAAATAATAGTTCCGTGTCATACTACTAACGCATTGAAAATCATACAAAGTTAAAAAAAAAAGTACATCTGTAACCGTTAAGGTATTTGCTGTGTGTGAACTCTCGACAAATGATTATAATCAGCTGCCGTCTTTTAAGTCAGTCGTTGTTAATGTTGTTACATTGTTGTTGTTATACGGATCTGTAAAGGCGATCAGCATAATCACGCGACTTCAATTGCGAATTTGTGGGCTGTAATGAAAATTCTTGAATGTCAGGCGTAATTAAAGTGCTGCTTCGCTTTTGATGCATCGCACTTCAAGTATACGTGCAAAAATGTGGATTCGAAAAAAAAGTCTACATAAATATCGTGTTTAAATATTGCGTTGTACAAAGGTGCGTGAGTACATATATATATATATATACGTCTGCTGTCCATAATTTTCAAATGAATGCGATAAGCATACACGTTAGATGTTGCTCATGACTTATCATAATTTTGTACGATTCGCGTAATAAGAATGAACTCTCATCATTTATATATGTACATATATTTAGATAAAACTTCATCTGACGACGCGTCAAGTATTTAAACTGATTGTAATTTGTTTTGCCGTTAATTTGTTACATTTTTTACATTTGTACTATATTTTCATGAATTAGGCTTTTATTTCTTGTGTGCGTCATTTTTAATCGTTAAAATAAAATTACTTAATGTTATTCTAATGTTCAATATGAGAATACATTTATTTTGTCAATAATATGCGATAAATATAATTTAGGGACGATCGCTTTTTTGCTGTTGTTTTTAAGATTATTTTTTTCAAAGCTTCAATACAGTGTAGCATCAGTTTGAAGAAAAAAAATCAACCGCACAATGTAATGAAAATCGTATTGTTTTCCTTCCATTCATTCAATTTCAAATTTTATAAAGTGTAGTACATGATGAGCGAGATTCCCACAGCACTCGTCACGTTGCTGCTCTCGCGTGGTTATTATAACGAAAAATAATAAATTCAAAATAAGCTGTGAATAAAGAAATAAATTGTATGAAAAATGATTAATTGTATGAAGCTACTGTGATGTTACTGTTGAATATAATGAAAAAATATATACATATACATCTATATACATAAAAAAAATTCCTCAAGTTCAATGTAGCATGCATATGTATTATTGAATAATACCTTTTTTTCATAGTTGGAAACGATTCTTTTTATTTTTCAAATTCTAGTAAATTGTAACATTTTTACATGGATTTTGAGTCCGCATAGTAATTTTTGTTTCGAATGCTCCTAATTTATATTTTATTTTACAAATACTACTAACTTTAAGAAGAAAAAAAAAGAACTCAAATTCGTTCGTGGTCTTGTCTTATATAAAATCATATTTATTTACATTTATACACTATTGATGAATGTCTGTACAATTTATCCATCATGATTGATCAGCATAATGAAGATTGATTTATTTCGACTTACTGAGTCTGTTTTAAAAATTATAGTCTAGTCACTATATTAAAATGTGTTTCCTGGCTTTTGAATAAAAGGTATATAAGCCCATGCTTATTCAAAGCCAGATACAGTCTTTTTAAAATTCTAGATGCGCGGTTGTATGTACAAGTTTGTACATATGTATGTATAAATATCTATCTTACACAGTCACTTTTAAATTTATGAAACAAATTCAAAAAAATTATGTGACAAACTAATTATTTTTATTGTCCATTAAACCAAATTCACCATTTAGCCCTAATACTCCAATCCTTTGCTGACCAATGCAAACACCTTGAGTCTATTCTTGTTTTTCGTTTCTGCATAGCATCCGTGTGCTCCTTGATAGTTTCGCTACAAAAATGAAAATAAATTTTAATGATTATTAAGAAACTTTTAAAAGAGAAAAAGGTGACCTTCGTAAATTGGTAAAAAAATTACAAACTCAAACTCACCTATTGATTGTGATGATGTATTGTCCCTTGTAATAATTAATTAAATTAAGATTCTGTAAGGTAGAGATCACATCCTCTTTTTTAATAGAAGTTATATCACAAATCTCTCCAATGGTAATTTGGGGTTTTTCGTTTTCACCTTGAGGCTTCGTGTTAAGTAAAATTTCTAAAATAGTGTGCGCCCAATAACTACGATAAGACAACAACCCTAAATCTGACAGGGGCTTTTCAGGAGATCCTGTCTTGCCTTCGTGCTTTGAAAGTTCATATGAAAACTCTATAAGTAATTTACCGTATCCCATTCTTTGATACTGAGGCATTGTAAGAATACATGCAACATTATAATCTTCCGTTGACTCTTTTTCCTTAGAAAAGTAACCTACTATGTGAAATCCTCTATTATCAAATTCAGTCATTACATAAAACAAAAATGGATCAGTATCGTAGTAGAGTGTTTTATGGTCTAGAAATAATTTAGCTAATAGACACAGATTTTGAGCGTAACTTTTGTTTTTCCTTCCATCAATCTCAAAGAAGGATATTGATCCGTTTCTATATATCTCATTGCCTGGTGGGTGTCGCAAGTTACATTTGGCCAAGTGTCTTTCCAAGCACTTTCTACTTTTTCGGTACTTTAAGCAGAATTCACAGATATATATACAAGAAAGATTGACCATCTCTGGAGGGTAAGGACTGAAGTACCAAGGTTTTATTCTATGCTTCCCAAGTTCAATCAAATCAATATTTTTCATTCTTGTCACAACATCATCATGATGATGAGACACCAGAGAACCCGTCGGTCTTGGACCAGCAGAAGATTGCTGTTGTGGTGGACCATCTTGGGAGTCATCATTTTCAATAAAATTCGCTTTTCTTTTCCTATTAATCTTTTTTTGCAATGCAGCTTGGAGCACAACTGATCCATTAACGGGTTCACTACTAACACTACTTGGACTCTGAGGCCTGCTAGGTACTTGCTTTTTTGGAGTAGCTGCTCCAGTCCCAGGTGCAGTTGCTCCATCTCTCTGTGGAAATTGAACTTTTCTTGTATCCAAACAATCCTCCGACACCCATTCGTCTAATCTTTTGTTGACTGAAAAATACAGACTTACATGACTACGAGCAAGTGAATGCCTAAACTTTTATCACATGACAATGTTTCTATAGTAAACTTTGATGATTAAAAAAATCACTTACAGTCCACGTAATGAATATAATATTCCTTTACACCTTCCCCATCTTTTATGCTTATGATTTCGGCAAGAGCTAGAATCAGAACAATTGTTAGAATCAAGAATATAGTTTACCTTAAATGTTTGTGTAAAAGACAATTCCTATGTATAGAGTAAACATTAAACGCATTGATTAAGCAGTTAATTCTGACAGAAAACCCGAGGGAGCTGTGTGCTATTGTACTCTAGAAGATGGTACTGGTTGTGACCGTAACATCAATAACAAAGTGTTTGAGAGATAAAAAGAGGTATGCCAATGAATTGAGACAAAACTATGTCAAACAATAATAGAAATGTAGTCATGCAGTGTAAATAATACTCAAAATACTCACGCCAATCTTGTGTACCGTTCATTCGAACCGGTAAACGACATCCTTCTATCAGAGAATTCTAAAAGTGAGGTTAGAAAATTGAATAACAAAATTTCATCATTTTCGTTAAAATCTTGAGTAAAATTGGAGATACAAGTATACTGTCAAGTTCCAAAATCTTACCACAGAGTCGCATATTGTTTCCCTTTCGTCGTGTTCTTCGATCATTTCAATTAAAAATTTCAACGTTATCACCTACGACAAGTACCCCTTCAGCCTAGCCTAGCAGCCACCAAACAGTGTTTTGAAGAAGCAGCAGCCGCGGAGCAACAAGGTGCATTCGCAAGTACGATCGCCGCGATAAAAACGCATATATATATACCTCATCAGTTCTCGAATCATCAGACGGTAAGTACTTACGCATCCTTACCTACTCTCGATTTTTTTTTCTTTTTTTTTTTTTTCAATAAATAGCTGTATATAAATGTATAATAAATAATAATTGTGATATTTACAGCTTTTATGATAAACGTAAACATTTTTTATGTTGACTTTGTATTATTTAATAAGATGTTACTTTTACGATAGCATACATATATAGCTACATGCGTCCGTATGAAGTTTTGGGCCCCTCTAAAGATTGAGTGGAATTGGCGGGATCCGAAACGGTTCAAATTTAGAAATTCCAATAATCCCGCGTCCGGTTCATCTGTTTCGTTTTTCAAGTAAGTAAATATTGTTGCTTTTTGTAAATCTACGTGCAGGTATAGCAATATTTATAATGTTGCGAAATGAACTTACGTGTTATATTACCATATTATTTAGTTTACAAACATCGTTAATAATAACAGTCGTGCACTTTTTGTAATTCAGTGGCGCATTTTCAAGTTAACGACAGACACCAGCTTCTAACCTCTACGCAATGACGGCGGAGGCTACTTTGAACGTCTATTTTGTCAAATCGCTGATAAATATTCTGGTAAAAAGCTCTCAAAGTTGCTTTTACATATTTCATTACCATTACATTATTTTGATCTTTTATATATTTAGTCCATGAATTAGGAGTCTGATTAGTATTTTGATATTTTGTTTTTCTTGTAATAACAAAAGGTTTTTTTGTTTGTTTATTATTTCAAGAGATGATCGCACTATTTATTTGTAAACAAATTGGTAATAATAATTGCCTTTTGAGTACTATTTGTTACAAGAAACTAATTTTATTAGTAAGTTAGCTATCAGTAAAGTTTTATTTTAGTTTCAATATTGTATGTCATTTATCGATTGTATAGCAACGTAACATAAAATGTATGGCTGGATAAAAAGTTATATTTGCATTAGGACTGAACATTATTAGTGATTGAGTCGTTTTTCTTAGTTTTCTTTTTGTACTTGCTTTATCGACAAAACTATGAAAAAAAAGCATAATTTAATCATTTTTTGAATAATTCTTTAGGATCCATACATCAGAGATATCAAAACTCCAGTGACTGGCATTACACATTTTAAGAAGAGGCAGAGAAAAAAGCTGGTGTACAGAAGATCATCAATCAGGTTTGTAACCGAGAGCTTTACTATAAACCTTCAATACATATCTAGTCCCCCATCTTTTGAATAACAAAACCCACAGTTTTTAGTAGCTGCGATACGGGCCTGGCCGGCCCTGGTTGTAAGTTGGGGACTAGGGGGCACGAGGATAAGCATATATGCAGTGAACACCTACATGACCCCGAGATCCCCCAGCGTGTGTGCCAGTGTACACAAGGGTTGGGAAGGGGTGCTGTGTATATATATGTACGTGCATAAGTGTACCTCCACCACAGGAAAATAACGTACAAAGAGGAAAGGGACGGGATGCGTGTGTGTGTTGTAGCTCAAAAGGGCGTGGCCGGGAGTTCTCCAATCCGCAATCCGCTAGAGCTGGAGCTAGAGCACGTGGAAAGAAAGGAGAGAGAGAGAGAGAGAAGCCCAAAATCGAAGGGAGTAAAAATTTTAGCGGCCGTGTCAAACGTCGGGGGCGCGTAAGGGGATCAGAGCGCCTGATCTCTTTTCTTTTTTGCATTTTCTTCTCTGCCTTCTGGCGTATAAGTATTTTTCGGCAAGAGCAGTTCACCCCACGCGTTTGCCACCCTCGCCTCCCCCCCATCCCCTTTTTATCTTTTCTTTTTTTTTTTTTATTACGCCCATTCTTACTTTCGTGCTCCCTTGCCGCTCTGACTCGCGACTTCTCCTCTATACGTATATACAAGCACATCCAGGATTTGCCTTCGTCAATCTCATCTCTTTCGATTGCCTTTCACCCCACCCGGCACCTGTACGCGTCCGTCACCTCAAGGGTGCTATTTTTTTTTTTCTTCTCTCCCCTATATACCTACCCTGTACCACCACCATGGTGAGCGCCTCTTGCGTCAGTTTTTTTTTATTTTATTTTTTTTACTTCGATCCCTTGAGAGCGCGTCATCATTGTTAAGAAAACTCATACCGATTGGCCATTAAAAATCATGACATTAGAGGAGAGTGGAATTTCAAGCTCCACGATAAGCGAGACCATGTAACTTTTACGTTGGTCTAGCCAGATTGCTCTACTAAAAAAGTTTCTGGGCGAATGCGGTAGAGACAAATCTTTTGTAAAATAAGTGCAAATTGTTTATCACAGCATTATCATTGTAGTGCACGAATGTAGGTGTATAGACAAATACAGAGTGCGTTTAATTTTGGAGAAAAAAATTTTTTAACTTTTATTTTTGAAACACATGATCAAGCTGTAGTATATTAGCGGTTGTTGGTCGGCTCAAGCATGTTCTCACATTACCATTGAGCGTAAAATGATGATATTTTCAAAAATCACACAATTTTTATCATGTAAACATTGTCTTCAGGGAACAAATGAAATAATTTCAAAAATGTATTACAGAAAAAAAACAAGTTTTATTCATGGTAGCTATTGTAGCTATAATAACCTTTAAAATTATAAGAGGTATTTAGCATGATTTTAGCATGTTTTAATAGTGAAGTATTTTAAATAACGTTATTTAAAGTGGTAACGAGGTATTGACGAAGTAAAAATGAACAAACAATATTTTGCGATGGAAAGTAATTTTGTTTTTATTCAAGCAGAATATCGAATGCAATGTACAGAAAAAGATCTTTACAATTTTTTTATTAACAATTGATAAGTGATTTTGTAGAAACAGCATATGATATAAAAATTGTTTTAAATATATTTTAAGACGGGACATTTTTGTTGTCGTACCTGTTTTCTTGCGCCAAATCATTTAGTTCATCTTTAAAAAATACAAATTTTTTTTTCACTCTAAATGCCAAATATTCTTTTGAAATGGTAAAAAATTCATTTGAAAGCATCATTATTTAATTTTTTATGTTTGAAGAGAACATGTTATGTACAAAAGTTATAAATCTTGCAAAAACATACGTTTTTATGTTGTAAGTTCTTCTTTGTAATCTACAGTGTGGCATAATCCAGAAGCGTAGGCTAAAATTGATGAATGGAAGTAATCTATCCTAAAAATTTTTTCTTTGGTTTATAGGAAAACTAAAAGCGCACTTACACATTGGAAAATTCATGATAAAACTTTAGTTGGGAGTCTGCAATAAAAAAAAATTTTTTCAAATAGTCACTTTCGGGACAAAGGATTTATTTTCTCTAAGACTTCAAAAATGTGGGATAATTGATAAAAATACAATAAGATGTAGTGAAGAAAAAAAATTTTTTTTCGGGGTTTTTCACGTAATTTTTTCCCACTTTCATTGAATTTTGAAAATTGTTTTAAAAATGTCAGATTGTGTTATTTTAAGTAGAAAACGGACCCAAAAATTCACGGTTGTCGCTTGAAAAACTCTATTTTTTTCTAAACTTTGTAAATTATAAACTCCGGTGCTACGAAGTTTTCACTACATTGCGCAGGAAAAACTTGCTATGAATTTTTTCATTCGCCACCCGCAAANTAGAAAAAAAAAAAAAAAAAAGTTAAAAAGAGAATAACTCACACGCTGAGCCAAATGAAAACTTGGACAAAGCTAAAAAGCCCCTACGTAGATTCGACGATTCGGTACTCACAGTCTCCCGAAAACATAGCGCGTGATTTTAATAGCCTCCCCGAGTACGTCGCCATTAGGATTCCCGCAAGGCTTTGTTTCCGAGCAACCCGTTCCCCGCACGCCCGCTGAACTCTCGAGACCGAGGAGACTGTTCCGCTTCGTTTAGCGCTAACTTTTCCTCCCTGTAATTAATGCGCACGCCGAGTACGGGGCAAGTCGGGCTGTTGCAAAATCATTAGAAGCCCGGACTGTTCATGAATATATTATATTACGTTGCAATATAAGGTACTCGTCTATGAGCGCGAGCATGCATGTGCCGCGTGCGCAGAATCCACCCGATACCCATATGTACACCTATATAAATATAAATATACCGGGGGTATAGCTTCACCACCTCGTTAGAGCTCAGTAGTGCCGTTGCTCGGATATAGACCTGCCGAAGTAACACGCGCACCCACACGTCGGTGCACATGGGGTACGTGCATCCGGAAATCAATATCGAAACATCCCTACGGCCCTACATCCCCCGGTGCATCCACCTACGCGATACACGCTCCATGTCATATATAGGCAAAAAGCTCTCGTTCGGATAGCGGCAAGTTTTCCATCTCCGAAGCACAAGTCAAACTTACATCCAGTTGAACTGTTTTTTTTTTTTTTTTTTTTCTTCAGCTAGTCAGGCGTTATACATATATAATAATAATAAAAATTATCTTCAGGTACCGCAATTTATATGTGTTACATCCACTTTATATTGCCGGCAAATAACCTGCCTTCCATCATCTCGGAAAAGATGAAAAAGGCAATTTTCCATCCCGCGAGCGGTAAAATGTATCTTATTTTTCTTATATTTCTCGTACAGCGTGGCCCCAATGGATAAACCAAGTACCGATCTGGTGATGCGCACATGGTTGGCTCATTTTTCGAAGAAAACCCCCCGCTGTCACGATTACGTCCCACCAAAGCTCGGGAGCAGAGTAAGTTGCGCCTCAATGAAAAATGTTCATCCTTGGCGAGCTTTCTTTTTTTTTTCACACATGAAATTTCAAGCAAAAGTGGCGTTTCCCCGCGCGGTGCAACACGCATAAACGTAATTGAACCGAAACAACAGCCGTCCGAGCTAGCGTTCGGCCGCAAATCCAATTAGCAATCCAGATCAAGTTGACACGCGGGGCGCAGGCAGTCATTGGGCAGGGTGGCTCGTTTAAAAAGCCCCGTTCCTCC